TATTTCTCTTCCCTCATGTTTCTTCCAGTGAAGTATTGATCAATTCTTGCTTCATGTGACTCAGATGAGAAACTTATCCCTTGATATCAAACATAGAACAAAAACTGGGTATCAAAGCAGAGATTTCTGTTCAAGTTATCAGAAATGAGTTGCTCACGGCAGAATATCTTTCACCACTTTTCCAAATGTTTGTCCATCCGCTCACTGAGGAAGTCTTTAATATATACGCAGCAAGACTTGGAGACAGTTGAACTTTCACTTGAATTGTGCTAGGCTACCAGAGCAGCAAAGTTTCGTTTTGTTTTGTCCTTCTCGTAGCACTTGTTGCAAGTAGTTGGAAGAAACAGAAAAGTGAATTAGTGCCTCTTTATTGTTTGCTTAGCTGTAGATATTGAAGAGTAGATTGAGAGCTTTCCAGAATGCTGTTTAAATGAGCCTTGATTTGTAGGCTTTTCTGTTATATTAGCCCTGCTGCAGGTTCTGTGATCTGTTGCATAGCAGAAGATGAGTAAGTTCAGTGACTAAGAGCATGGGTTAGATAAGTCTTGTATATGGTATGTATATGGTATCTCCATGGTTTATTACTATGGCTAGTGGTCTCATCTGATGAGAAACATCACCTGGAAATCTTCCTGTTATTGCATGACTTCTTCAGCTCTTGTTTTTTTGGGTGACAGATGGTGGAGAGAGAATAACTCCCCTTTCTGGCCCTGTGGTCCCCCCGACCTGGGTGGGAGAGGAGGGTTGGGGCCTGGCTCTTCACCTTCCTTTTGGTGAGATGAAGAAACAACAGGGCAATGAGGAGCAGAGGGCGGAAGTGTGGCCCCAGCCTAGAGCTGGGGACAAGGCCGGGACTTCCCAGACAAGCAGTAAGGCAGGGACTGTCTCCCCCTGATTCAAATAGTGAGAAGTTTTTATTCCTGTGGGTGGATCAAAGAGGTGGAAGGGGTAATTCTGCATTGCAGAGCAAGAAAAAGGTTAGAGCAAGACTGAGGAAGCAGTAAAGAAAAAGAAATGACCCCCAAGAACAAGGGTTCTTGAACTAAAACCATTTCCTATTCTTGATGACATTGTGTTTAATTAAAGTGCACCCCCATATCTTTGGGTTTTCTATAAATTTTTCACTACCTAGTGCTGTTTTTGAAGTAGATGAAACAACTGTCCTTCCCCCAAGATATACCCTTGTTTTGCCTGGACCAAGTCTGCTATAGTTTAAGTTCAATAACCTACTCTGCAGTAAATTTGCAGGTAGGGTGCAAGTGTAACACACCATGAGGCCGTAAAGCTAATCCATCATAGTTTAACGAGGAAGGAGGGAATGACACATATTCATTATTGTAAGAAAGGTGTAGAACATGATCTGTCTTCTAAATGGCTGTCCTGTGCTGGCAGTACCCTGCGCAGTAAGAGTTATGCAGCCTTTTGTCAAACTCATTTGCTTAATCTCTAAATTTGTTTCCAGTTTGGGACTAGTTTCTTAGTTTGAGTTAAAGGGAATTTGTTTGGAATTCCATACCAGTGGGACTACAGGAAATAAATTATGAAGCTGCCTCACCCCTTTTTGTCCCAATTGTTCTCCCACTTGTCTGGGCCTAGTAAGTGCTGTTGCATAAGTTGTCACCGTGGCTGCCTGATCCTCCCTCCTTCCTCTTCCTCCCTTCAGTAATGCTGCCTTGACTACTGTCATGTTCTGAGCTTCTTCCCCATCCAAAATTCCTCTAGGCACTGATATGGTTTTGTTGTTGTTGTTTTTTGTCTCCCTTGCCCACGTGCCATTCTTTTTCCTGCTTTACTCTTTGGGAGGACGGACCTCTCTCTCCTTGCGAGCTTGGTGATCCTTCTCCCACAGTTCTTGATGGGAGGTCTGGAGCAAAGATTCGTCCATAAGGGATGCTGCACGTGGCTGAGCAAGACCCCGAGCTGCAAACTCCTGGGGGTGGAGGGGCTATTTTAAGGGAGTGCTGATGTCCACTTGCCATGTTCCTATACTCATTCCTAGCTGTCTACATGTGGCGACAGACATGATGAGCCACAGGTTTGATTGGGTATGGATTATTTTTGTATCCTATCTTACTAGCTTTATTTGTGTGAGACTGTGACCTAGTCATAGTTTGTGACTTTATGAAGCAGCTGGTTTGTGAGCTGGAGTTAGTTTATAGTAATATTAAGAATTTTGTGATGCATTTCAGATTCTATTGCCTATTTAGCTATTTTTGCATGGGAAACACTACTCAAAGCAGGTAAAAATAAAAAGTATCTATCTATGATGTCTTGCTGCTGAGCGTACTGTGGTAGCTGTCTTTATTCACAGAAGTCGGATCAAATTCATTCAGTATTATGAATGAAAATAAATAACTGATTAGTAAGAAGAATTTTAAAATGTAGTGTATTTTGCTGTCTAGAAATAAGGTCATTCTTGAGCTAGGAATAAAAGGATAGAGGAAAATCCTTTACAATGATCTTATAAAAACAGGTATTTAAAGATCATTGACATAATGCTGCAACAGCAATCTGTTTAGAAAGACTTAAGTCAACCGAAATTAGATACTTTTGCTGCTGTCTTTTTCAGTAAAACATTAGTGGGAGTGGTCCAAGTTCAAAGTAGTTTCGGATTATCCACTTTGATGAAACAGAAGTTCAGATTTGTTGTGGTTGCTGATGACTGCAGTTAGGATATTTTTAGCCTGAATGAATATCACAATTACAACATAGTAAAACTTTACCATCAAAATGGGAGCAGGAGTAAATCGGAAGAAATCAAATGGTATTTTGTTGTGCAAAATCATGGCTCTTCCTTGGACTGCTGTAGAAGACCACACAGCAGTGATGCCTACTAATATAACTACAATTGTCTGAGTGTTTAGAAGCACCAATATATTGTGTATCTTCTGATCAACTGTACCTTTATTGGCACTTAGCCTCTAGCAAGTGTGAGATAATCTGGGTTAGCGCAGTCTTATTGAAATCTAGTTTTTGCACATCAGAAGTGCAGTGTGATATATATATTTTTTTCTTCTCCAGGATTAACATCCTGGGAGAGTGTGTGGGAACAGGAGCATTTACATATATACTATATGAGAAAGGATGCTTCTCAGTTCGAAAATGAAATCCATGTAGGAAGTGCTCCTGTGAGATGTTTCAGACAACTCATGATCTATATATATCATCCAGACCTCTAGATGGGAACTCTAAGATGTAGAGAATCCACAGAAAATCCTGGTAGGTGCCAGGTGTGTGTGCTGTATACATGTTATATTAGCAGTCTCGTACTCAGCACCCTGCCTGTAAAATAGCCATCCAGCTTTCTACAACAGGAAGAAAGACATCACGTGCCTAGTTCTCCATCACTTTACTAGTAGAAAAAACCCTGAATAAAATTTCTGTTCTTTTGTAGTGTGCAGAAGCAGCATGTGGAAATTTTGGTCAAGAACTAATGAACCTGTAGTACTGGGGAGACTTGTTTTGTTTTGTGCTATTTTTTCCATCTCTTCCCTTAGCGGATAGACGCTGGAAAAATCCCTGCAGAAAATATTTGAGGAATGGAAGCTTGTTTCCTACTGTGTTTATTTTAGAAGTGGGGTATGCAACTGAAGCTTTTTGGCTCAGATGGATTTGACAGGAAGTAGGTAGAACTTCATATATTTCTCTTTTCCCATCTTCACAAGGGGTTTTATGTATGCAGATTTCTATGCATCTTGGATGGTTTGCTTAGTCATTTGCAAATACATCAACTCTATTCTGAGCTGAATGTAGAGGAAAAAATCCAGATTTCACATCAGTGTTGGCCTTAGTTGAAGTAATTTGTGTTCCTCAGGACCAGCACATGTATAGTCTGGAGGGAATAGTTTGCCTATTTTTTAAAATGTGTGTGTGTTAAACTGGAGAGGCAAATAGAAAATACAGCACTCAGCAGCAGCTTGTGGCTTTGCAATCTTCCCTGGAGAAATGTGGATCCATAAAATGATGAATAGATTTCAATGAGGCATTCATATTTTCATTTCTGGGAGTTTTAGTCCTGTTCTGGTGGTTTTCATCTTATATAAAGAAATAACTATCTACTTCCTGTAGACCAACACTGAAAAATCACGAACTGAGTCCCTTTAAGTGTCAATAAGAAATAGGTGTAACAGCTTAGCACCATCATGTAAAGCTGTATAGTCTGGAGATGAGCAAGAGTACACTTTTCTAATTTTTTTCTGTTTTTTCTGACTAAAAGTAAGGAGAGCACTGGACTGGAAATTGTTTGAAGATTTGATATAAAGCTGTTAACTTCTGTGTATGTCACTGTTCTTTTTCAAATAAAGAGGAAAAACTGAAAAATGGGATAATCCCAGCAGCTAGTGAATGCTTGTCACCTAAAAGCCATATTTTAAGTGAAGGCTTTGCTTTCCATGCTTTTCTTCCCTCTGATGTGCAGTGAGACAGCAAGACCTTCTCTTTCAGAAAGTGTGCCTGCACTTCAGATCATAAACTAATTTGTTGACGCCATTTAGCACTGGTTAATTCAACTAGAGCTGACTGTTAAATGAACGTGAATGGCAAAAGAACTGAATGCTTTGTTTAAACATGACTTTCATTGCGGTGGGGGGTTAGAATATGTGCTATGACAGTGAAACACCTGAGCTTTTCCCAGCAACTGTCAATGAAAGTATTTCTGAAGCAGGGAAGAGAGTTGGAGCAAGCAGTAATACTTTGAATGGTGTTAAAAGCCAAGAAAAGCGAGGGGGTGCATCACAGATATGAGGGGGGCTGTGTAGCAGCAATGCCAAAGTTTGTCCTGAAACAAAATGTGTATAAGGTAATCTGATGCAGCTTTTGCGACTTTGTGACTTAAATTAATGTCTCTGCACAAGGTCCTATTAAAATAGTAACTCAGTGCTAGTTTGGGTGCATGTATGCTGTGCTCCACTGAATAATCTAGAGCTGTCTTTCCATGCTTTGGGGGTGCTTTTCCTATAATAAGAAGAAACGTGATTTTTCTTTGTGTGTTTATCCTTCAGGCAACAAGAGCTGCTCTGACTCAGCATTGCACCAGTTTGGGGGACTCTCTGGGCAAGGAAAATGATATTGCTCTGATTATTGATGGCCACACACTGAAGTATGCCCTGTCATTTGAAGTCAGGCAGAGCTTTCTGGACTTGGCACTCTCCTGTAAAGCAGTCATCTGTTGCAGGTAAGAAATGACAGGATTCTCTCTGGTGACAAAATGGGCGTGAAGCCTGTGTAACTTTGCCTGGTGTGTTGACTTTCCTTTCAGGCTTACGGCACTTGCAGGAAATATAAAAGTAGGGAAAATACAGTGTAATATTCAAGAGAAAGCAAGCTGCAGTGGTGAGCCACTTAATATAATTGATTTCTCTTCTGTGGAACTGTTATTGAAAAGCTGGGGATGTGCTGTGCGGAGGAGTAAAGGAGGACTGTAGAGAGGTATTTCTCCTACAGCCACAGGCAGGTTTGTGAAAGCGTTCATATAACTCACTGCTAGGCCAATGAAGTTTAAGATTTTTGGTTCTTCCTGGCCTTCTACATGTCACTATATGATATACTGGTGTTGTACACCTTCAAGATGAGCATTCAATCAACCGTACTGATACAATCTCTCCTGGTGGTCGAACTTCTTCAGTCTGACAAGCATGTTGGAAAGCAACGTGGGTAGAAGCTTTTCCTGCCTGCTCCTATGGAGGAGAAAGTAAGTCCTCCATGAAAAATAAGTGCTATCTAATGCAATCCCTCTGTCTCTGTCAGTCTCAGCTGTGTGATCATTTTTATAAAGTGATAAGGGATCATGAAAAAACATGATCCCCAAGCTCCTGATTGTAGTAGGCACTGATGATTAGAACCTGTGGTATCTGTGTGGTCATTTTTTAAGCAGTAAGAATTGCGTAGCAAAAATTTTGTGTGGCTGTACTTCAGCAAGCTGGGGCTTCTCTAACTGGTGAAGTTGCATTTTGTTTGTGTGGCCTTTGCTACATGGCAGAACATGCTAAATCTCCTGTGGCTGCCTAGAGCCGTAGTACAGTTTTGAGCTGTGTCTTTAGTGTTGCAGCTGGTGAGAAATGTGCTATAATATTAGGTCTGAGAGACCTAAACTCAGCAGAGCTGGAGGGAGGTGCTCGTAACAGGCCTTAGGAATCCAGAAGTCTTTAACAGTGCAAAGGATGGTCCGTGTTATATCCACCTTCAGAAACCAAAAAACAATATGTCAAGTTTTTTTAACAAGTACTGTACTGACATTTATGAATGAAGTAGCTGTGACTGAAGCTTATACAGATTTTTTTTGTATATGTAGCAATCTACACATTTTAGCAAACTGGTTTGTGTGACCTGGCATTGGTCATCATGTAGATGTCATTTTGTTTTATAAGTGGAGAAAAAGCATGTAGGAGAATGTGTGTTCTTTCCAGAAGCAGTCTGTTTTAAGGTGCCTGAATTCACATTCTTAGCTGAAGATAAAGTAGTCAAAGCTGAAGATCTCAATTGGAAATACGATTTTTCAAACCCATTTTTGATGCCCTCTGGGCTTAGAGGGATCAATTACTGTTAGCATAAGAATATGGGAGTTGCTAGTTCCCTGAATTAACAGGTCAGACTTTCTTTAGCTGCTGTCATTGCCAGCTATTGCACAAGTCTTGTCCATATTTAATCTTCCATGGTCTCTTTTAGACTTTGGCTCCCTCTTTGCTAATTTGTTGCAGGGAAATACTCTAGTCTCTTCTTCCTGAGAACACAGGATGGATTTATATTAGGATGGTGGTGTTCCTGTCTTCAAAAAGTGTTATGTGCACACAAACATAGTTGCTAGCATTTATAGCTTTTTATTCTGTAAAACTGATGTAGATCTGAGAGCGCATGAGACTGGACAAACTCTGTCAGATGACACTGTCTTTTTTCCATGGCAGCACTATAATGCATTTGCAAAGCCCAGGAAAACTGTGCGTGCTTGTGTGCCTGGTAGTGTTTTTTCAGAGGCAAATCAGACATTGGCACATCTTGATGGTATCAATGATGGTATTAAGTACAAAAACACTAACAGGCATCTAGCTCTGAGTTATACCAAACTAGCTGGTATATTCCAGCCTCTCTAAAAAGTATTAAAGGGAGGAGGGAACGTATTGGGGTAACTGAATCAGAAATGAGTGAAAGAGTTGCTTCGGCAGAGAATCCTGCTTGTGCAGCTTTCTCTGCTAATTTTGCATAGCAGCAGAAAGTGGTACCTGTCTCTGAGTAAGCAGGACTTACTCGGTAAGTAGACCTTCCTCCTCTGCTCATAGCCTGCCACCTACCTGGAAGCTGCTGCTGCTATCAAGTACCACTTTTCTGTGAAGTTTCTCTGGAGAAGAAAAAAAAAGCAGGGGAGGGAGAGTGGAGGAAACAGCTGCCTTAGCTTATTTCTCTAGGGGAAGAGGAATATCTCTATCATAAATGTGAGCATCTTTTCCCAGTAAAACTGCGTTCCTGTTAAGGGAGAGCAGTAAAGGTAGGAATAAGTAGACTCAGCATACTGGCATGTGAAAGATGTGCAAATGACCTTACTCTTTAGGTGGTGAAGGCATATATGTACTTATAATGGAGTAAAGAAATTCATGATTAAGTGCGATTTTGTTTACTGTACCGGCAACTGGTTTTGTGTGCACATACTGGCAGACTGCACATCTACCCAACATACTTATATTAGTGGATTAATTGTGAGTGTTCTTCACTGTATTTGGAGGAATAAAAATCTTGCTCAACTATGAAATACTGGTAAGTATTCGTCTTACAATCATCTAACTTTTTTTCCAAGGACATGGAAATGTGACATTTCATATACCAGTAGAACCTATAGATTTTAGCAACATCTGAGAATTATGCTTGTTTGCATGTGGGTCTTAGTATGTCTCTGTAGCTTCTTCTGTGTACAATGAGGAAGAAAAAAAATAAAACTGAATGTGGAGCAGAAAACTTGAAACTTTGTCCTGGTTTCATGCCGCAAGTATGCCAGTAGTACGCGATACTTCGGTCTTGGAATCCTATTCTATGATCTTGATGTTTGGGCATGGCTGGTGTATTGTTGGCATTTTTACCAGAGTTCCCTTCCGGGGTGATGCCATATTATCCATTTAAAATTGTTCTTTGTTTTTCATAGAGAGAACTTCTTTCTGGAAGGGATCCAGCTTTTGAGATCTAAAATATAAAAAGTATTCATTTTCTGACTTAAACATGTCCATCTCAAGCTGTCCCTTCACTTTCTCTCACAATGACCTTTGAAATATTTCTTTAGTGGGAATTTGACAGAAAGAGCTAGGCTACCAGCAGAGAATTTTTCATGTGCTTCCCTTCAAGTGAACTGATGGCTGATTAAAAATGCAGCTTCCAGTTGCAACTGCCATTACATCCTTCTAATGGACAGAACTCATTTCATTGTTTGTCTTAGTGTGAGCCTATTGCATGCTGAAAATTCAGCTGTGGGAGTTCTTGAGAACTTCTGGGTGAATGTAAGTTGTCTTGATCTGTAGAATGTGTATGCTACACAAGATTGTGTAACAGTGCAATTTAACCTATTTTAAATGTTAAGTTACGGCTCGTTGCAGTCCTTCTATTTGATGCTGTTGGACCCATTGGCTTTCTCCATCTCTGACTGGTTCCTTACCCAAGCACTGATGCTTTTGAGCTGCAGGCAGCAGATGTCTTGGTTCTTCCAGTTGATGTTCTTTGCATTTTTCCCAAGCCCTGCTTAAATGGTTGTCGACTGCAATGACTTTCAGTCCTAAATCAAACTTTTATAGAATTTTTTTTGCTGCTACCAGCAGATTACTGTTTTTTGTTTCTGTTGCAGGGGGAAGGGAGGGCGTGAGGCTTTAAGGACGGGTCTCACTTTTTTGCATCTGTTCCCTACATAGCACAATAGGGAGTCCCCACAATTGCAGTGGTTGTCTCCTAAACCTAAGAGGCCAAAATGAACTTAACTGGCTCCAAGAGCACCAATGGATGAATTTGTCTGTCTTTCCTGTCTGCTAAGGAGTTTAGCAGTCCACATTCTTCAGTGACATACACTGTTTTCAAAGGTAAATGTGCCATTTCTTTCTTGAGCTGCTTTGTGCAGGTCAGTGTTTTCCACTTCATGCTAAGTTACCTCGTGCTTACAAAGCAGCAGGTGCCCATGTAGGGAATTGACCCTGTGTCGTAGACTCATGCCATTGCTCAATGTTTACCTTCCCAGCATAGACAACTAACAAAACTATTGCTTTCATACACTGTTACACTCTGTGCAGAGGCCCTTCAAAAGCAGATTGTTAGTTTACTGTTTCTCAAGGACTTGGAGAGCTGTGTCAAAGACCTACATAGCTGAAGCAAATCATAAATGGCAAAGCCTAAGTTTATACTAGATTAAGTCATCTATCTTACTGAAGGTAATAAAGGTTCCTATTTTGTCAAGAGTAATTTAATATCGGGCATCTCTTCTCCCACTATTTCACAATCAAGCCAACAGCGGTTTTAATTATTAGTGGATTAGAAACCTGAGGAACAATGTGGAAAAAAAATACTGTAAAGTGTAAATCAAAGGGAAAAGATGATGTAATTTCATAGGTTTAAATGGAGAAATGAAAATAACTGGGTTTTGAGTCCTTGGGGGAAAAAGAGGAATGCTTCTAATAGCCTTTAAGGCTTCACAGGAACCTTCCATTTACTTGCCAGGTGCTTGATACTAAAGAAAGGAAAACATTTTTTCTACTGTGGGCTGTTTTTAGTAGTACTTTGTGTGTCAAATAAGACAGTGCATTTTAAAACTTCACAGGAAGAAGTTTTAAAATGTAATTGGCACAGAAAGAGGAAATTTCAAATTAAATAGAGTTAGTCTTCAAACAAAAATGTTAATTGGGAGGGAGATCTGGGTCTTTAAGCCCAGTGGTATGATGTTTAACTACTCTAGGAGGAGTTTTCTTGCTATTCTCAACTTAGCATAGCATAAATTCATAGGACTTAATGTATCATAAATTTACTATAGGCTTTTCATCCCCACTGGGGTGTTTCGGATGCATTTGCCACTCAAGGATTTTTTTTTAATATACTTAAGATACGCTGTATATGCATTTATTGGGCTTTAGGCATAAACTGTAGTTGAACTTGATTCTCAAGGGTAATCTCTTAAAATTAAACAGGTAAACCTGACACCTTTTTGTGTTAAGGAGAAGA